CAAGGCATTTGTGGCGACATAAACAATGACGAGTGACTCGAAAGTGGCTCTGTTAACTTCTCCGCTTGGGTTATTCGAGTATCAAAATTTAATCCGTTATCGGCCCAAATCCCTTCCCATGTGCCCCGCCTGCAATTCCGTTTTATGTTTGCCCAGCAATCCTTTTGGCCAATTCATTTATTTCAATTGTTGCCAGAGCTTCCGGAGCGCTGTTCCCTGACAAAGGGCCGTAGTCAACTATACGGCGTAATAAGCGCTTTTTATTCTGCGCGCATTGTGAGCGCGGCATTTTTATTGTTTCCGGGGCCGCTCAGATCGACAGTTGGCCCACTGTGGGATAAGCCCCTAGATTTAATGGCAAAAATATGGCCATAGAGGGCTTAAAGTGGCAGTAAATATTTAAAAGAATTCTACAGATGTTAGTTTGTTTCTTACAACTACAAAACGATTTAAAGTTACATTCATGTGTGAAAGCTTTTTGAAAACACTTCGACTTAAATTAAGTTAAATAAGTGTTTTGGATAATTAAGTCTTTAAACTGGAAAACAATTTTGATAGAAACCCATTGTTCTGTTTATTTCATTGTTGTTTATTTTTGCGTCAGAATCAAATCGTGAAGTCAAAACTAAATTGACTTAAACTTTGTCAAAGTATTGAACATCTTATAAATACTTAAGCTCTTTAAAGTGTTTCTTTGTATTTTAACCCATTGTAAAGACCTTCAGTTTCAACCCGCCCACTTCCCAAATTTGTTGCCCAAATGGGCGTGGCTGATGGTGCGCGCGTATTTGCCGACATTCAAAACCCGGCTGAAGTTTGCCTACATTCGTTTCATTTTATAACCCGAAACGAATAAAACAAAGCAAAGTTTCAAACTTTTGGCCGCCGACTTTTTGTTTAGTCCTTGAATGACATCGTTGTCTCCTGACTTATTTTTATGTGCCAGCACCGATTGAGGTTCCTCCCCTCAAGGTAAGCAGGTGGTGCCCGAAATTTACTTACCAAGTACTTATTTGCCTATTTCAAAAGCCATTTGTATAAAACGGCAACCGTTTTCGGGGCCCCCGAGTCCCCGAAGAAATGTAATAAAATAAGCCCCGACTTGGCAGCTGCATAAACAAATACCTGATAAAGATAGCGGAAAAACGGGAAGCCCTTTGTCGAGGGAGATGGCTAAGTCCGAAAGTGGTCCTCTCTGGACCAGGGCCATTCCAATGTATTTGCATAAAGCGTTTGCAGCATTAGCAGGACCCGTTACACATTGGGACAATCAGCGGAGTTCCCCGACCGACCAACGCGTGCCCGGTATTCTTTATTAAATTTTATTATTATGTTTTGCATAATTTTCCATCTTTTTTTTGCGCTTGCCCTAAAATTAGGATAGGTATGCGTTCCAGGACTTTGCTGGGGGAAAAACCCTTGGCATTCGGCCCTAAAATACGGCTCCTAAGATCCAGCCAAATACTTTTTGGCAAGCTGCCTAAGTTCGTCGAGTGGAAGGCTTTGATTTAAATGTATACAAATTCGTTTAATGCTCGCGAATCCCAGCGAATCCAGCAACTCCTGCTCTTTAAACAATATCCGCGGCGCGGAGAAGGGACCTTAAACAGAAGTCGACAAGTCAGCCAAAGGATATTTACAGCCCCCCGGGGACTTTAGAAATCGGAGCCAGGATAGAGGAGAAAAGTAGCCAGAAAAGTTCACAGCGCGACCGCACAAAACTCGATGGCGACAATTAATTTTAGTGAATTATGACCGCAGAGTGGAAAATGGCGCTAATGTGACGGCCTTTGCCAATTTGCTGTTTGTTCTCTGCAGTTTCTGGTCGTTTCGGCCGTGGCCAAAAACACGAACAGCTGTCATGGCGGCCGCACAGATTCGCATCCGTTTTGTTTGGCGGCTCCGGCGGACTTTGTGTCCGGCCAACTTTTTGAGGGCACGGCGACCGCAGACACAAAAACTAACAAAAAAAGGACACTCGGTTCGAGGATGAGGATTCCCTGGCGTGTCGTTGGCAATATGACAGTTCACAGCTAGAAACCGAACGCAAGCGGGAACACGTTGCGTATACGCGATATGCGAATGCAGTGAACCTTTTGCAACTGTCACAAGCACGCCAATCTGCGCTTAGAAGCGATGGTGTCGATCTGCGATGCCATAATTCATAGCCAAAACATTTCAGCAGGGTGGCGGCCCACACCAGCATTGTTCGATGCACGTGGCTGAAACACACAAAAGGATGGAAAAGCTGGATAAGAGCGAAAGCCGCGCAAAAACGCAACAAAATGGCAGCCGGAATGGCGGAAAAACACGCGGAAGTCGCGAGCTTAGCACGCTGAAAATGCTCGTAAAGTACAATGAACCGCAGGATCTGGCAGGACGAGTGGGCCCGGGCATCTGACGCTAGGATGTGGGTGAAGTTGAGTGGATTTCTGCCGGCGAAACGTCTGCTTGTGTCCCGGCGAAAGCAAGCAGGCGGTGCCTTTATTTCACCCGGTATCCATGGAGCACAAGTATTCCTCAAACAATGGGGAATCCTATAAAAGAGTTGTATACGCTTTGGCTATTTATACCATTCCGTTGTAATGGTATTGAATGGTTATTGCAATATTAAAGAGTTGTTTTTTTTTTACGTTTTTAAATATTATTTGTAAAATGAAAATGTATGTAACTAAATATGTAAGGAGTTGTTCAACAAAAAATTAAATAATATGCATTAACTACAAAAAAAGGTTTATAGGGAGGATTACTTTTTTAAAGAGGTTATTTATTGCTATGGCAACTATGTTTAAACTAGTTTATGTTTGTACTGTAAAAATATAATAATTATAAAAAATGCAATACCTAGGTTTGATTACATATACATATATAGTAACTATGTTACTTTAAACTTTCATTTATCTCTCTGAACACAGAGATCAAACCAACAAAGGAGTTTAATAAAGCTATTTTTCTTTTAAAAGTTGATTTGTTTTATAAAATAAACTGATTGCTTCATCTGCAGCGAGAAGAGTTTAAAAGTGAGGGTAGCGTTTTCCAGAAGTCAGGAAAATCCAGAGAAGCACTCTCACTTTGCCTTCTGGTTTTTCCGCTGCACTTGGCACCATTTATCCCCGTGAGTGACACCTCAAGGAGAGACAGATTGCGGAGACGGGGAGCTGGAGAAACCGATTCCCGCTTCTGGTTCTCGCTCTTAATTCCAGGACAACAAAGGAGTAACGCGGACCACAAAGTCGCTAAGCTTTGTATCTTCAAGATACTTTAATGTTGTTCTCCGCGCAGTATTGCTTAAGATTGTTGTAGTATTTCAACGCGTGGGTAAGTTTTTTTTCGCTTTGACAAGTCCTAAATATCACTGGTGACATTGGAATGGAAGGATGCACTCATCCTGCGACCCTTGTTTGTTGTTTGTATGTTTTTATTTATATTTTCCCTTTTTCATGTGTTGTTGATAGATGTTGATGTTTTTGTAATGCGTTATATTTTGTTCTTACGTAATAGTATTTAGTAACTTTAGTTCTACTTACAATCTGTGTTTCTTCACTTCTAAAATTTATATAAAAAATTAAAAACATTCCCATTTTAGCAGTTAAACAGTTTCAATTTAAACAAAGTATACACATAATAAAAAACATGCAATTTTTTAAGCTTTTACCAATATTGTTGATTGAAAGCTGCGAAAGCCATAAAAGAACAACAAAGTATCTAACAATCAATCAATCAATCAATCGAATCCTAAAAAGTCAACATGTTTTGCATCTACTGTGTGCATTGACCTAAAAATAAATAAAAACGCAATTACGCTGATAAATTGGCCGATAGCCAAGTCAAACCAAGCTAGTCTAATTATGTTGAAGCAAAGGCTAAAATGGGTCGCACAAAAAGTCGACAATCTTGGAAACTATAAACAAATCAGGCTTCAGAAAACTTTGCTGCCACCCGCCTGCATCGAAAAGTTGGTGGCACCCGCAGTTTGAAACTTTTCCATTCAATTCACTTAAGACTCTTTTCGCCCTTCGCGTTTGCATTTTGATGCGGCAACATTTTCCCAGCACGCTTTTCCACTAACTCCTACCTTGATGGCCCCGTTTGCCGTGAACTTTTCCACAGGGAAACAGGGAGGGGGAGAGGGAAAACCCCGTCAGTCGAACGAGCAACGGAGTCGTTGCAGCTAATGGTGTTTATTGCATTTGCTCCCCGGCTGCCACTTAAATCGGCGACACAGTGGGTCGGTTGGGCATCGGGGTTGCTGGTTTACCAGCCGGGCCATTCGGATCTGGGTTTCTGGTTCCCGGTCTTTCGGCTGGAGCAGCCAGAGATGGAGCAACACCTGCAGCTAGGCAAATACCCCGCAGGCGGCAGACCGAGCAAAGAGGACGAGGGACGAAGGACGATGGACGATAGACTCCGGGACCACAACTCCGACCAGCTGCCTTTTCCGCTCGTGTGGAAGAAAGTGCAAAGTAAATGCCCAACACAACGACTGCCTGGCGCCGCCTCTGGTGAATGGGTGAATGCAAAGGGGGCGTGGCAACAGGCTGGGGTAAGGGGGAAGGACGCAGGACGAAGGCTCCCACAACTGCGGGTGCAGCCAAAAGAGCAACTCACCTGCAACAGCTCGCCTTCAGCCAGCCAAGCTGTTGTGGCACAGATTTGGCTGACGCAAAGTTTGATTAAATCACAAGACAGGAGGGGGAGGAGGAGGAGGAGTAGAGGGAGAAGAAGGAGAGGGGGGTGAAGGAGGAAGAGAAGGAGGCGGAGGCTGGCCAGCGGCTTGTGGAACATGGATTCAAGTGGCTTGATGCCAGTGCACGGAAAACAAAGCGTAAAGCCAAGAATATTTCAGAGAAAAACTAATAACTTTCCATTAAACAATTAAAAAATTAATATTCCACATTAATCCAATAGCAAAGAGAATCGTTTTAAGTCTCGACATAACTCTTCATTTCAGTCCATAATTTGAAAATATATATTAATTTAACAATTAATAACAGTTAATAAGCGTTGCACAATTTCTATATTAATATTTTTGTAAATAAATGCCAATTATAATATTCCTAAACTTTTTCTTTAACAAACTTAATACAACATTTGAAAAGAAGGCAAATTTTATTAAACAATTTGGACTTTACACGAACATATACTTCGATTTTCAGTGCAGGGAGGGAGGGAGGGAGGTGGGGAGGGGGAGTTCGGAGAGCCAATGAGCCACTGACTGCGGGCGTCGGGCAGGTAAATAAATTCATTAAACGTTTAGAGCTCGCCAGGTGGGTCCGGTTGCCTTTTGTGCCTGGGCAAAGTATTCAGTTGCCCGGATTAAGTGGATTACCATTCAGCAAGCTGCATTGTCCCACAATCTCGGTGGTCATCGGGCAGAGGCTCCTTCGGCGGGGATAAACTATGGCTTCAAAATGCTATTCCAGGACAGACATTAACGGGAATTTTGGGGCTCTTTCAGCTTGCATTTCCTTTTTTTTTCTGTTTTTTTTTTTTTTTGGGTTTTGGTTTGGTTTTGGTGGATGAGATTCGTAGCTCATCGGTCGGTTGGGAATCGATTCACTTGAAATTTGTAAGGGAAGAGGAGTTGGATGCGGGATGCTGGATGCAAGATGCAGTATGCGGGATACAGAATGCTGGATGCAGGATACAGGACAGTGAAAAGTCAACAGACACGTACGTAAACAGGCATGGACACACAAACGGGCAACGGGTACGCATACGGACACAAACAGGATGCGGCTTGATGGATGGGACGATAAACTCGGACGAGGCGCTTCTAATCGTCGCAGGGCGGATTGACCACCAGTTCCCAGGGATCCTGATCCGAGTCCGAGCTGGGCGGCTCCTCGTCCCGCGGGGCGTGGCATCGGTTGCACTTGACGCGATACCAAAAGTTCAGATTCAGACAGAAGGCGCAGGGCCAATCGTCCTTGTGCGGCTGAAAGCGATGGACGCTAGTTGCTCCCGGCGATCCTTCCGCCGGATTGCGAACGGCAATCAGCTTGCTGGCCTGACACCTGTTGCAGTGGGAGCGCCAGACGAAGTTGCTGTTCCGGCAGAGCATGCACACCCAGTTGTCCACCGCCGGCTTCCATTTCTGCGCCCGCTGGCGACGCTGCTGATCGGCGGTGCTCAGATCCCGCGGATAGCTGTACCGCACACTGCCCCTCCGAGTGGACAAGTAGGCGGGCAGGACACTCAGCGTTTGTCCCATGAACTTGGCTCCGCCCAGGCAATTGATGGCCGCCTGGGCGGAGAAGGGATCCACATAGGTGATGGTCGCCTCGCCCTTCGAACGACCCGTCATCTTGTTCTTGTAGACGAAGATCTTCGGCTTGTTCGTTGCCTCGTCCATCTTGATCACTCCCAGCTTCCCGAAGTACGTGATGATGTCGTTCTTGGTCACGTTGAGTCGCATGCCCAGCACGAAGATCGTGTCCGGCTGGATGATGTACTGCTCCTGACCCACATTCAAGTAGGGACAGTGCGGGGGAAGCGAGATTCGGGGTACGAAAGTGGCTGCGGTGCGTGGAAATACCATGTAGGGTGAGCTCCCGGAACGGTAGGACTCGTTCTGCTCCATGGCTCCCTCCTCGGTCAGATCGTCCAGGTGATGTCCCCGTTCGGCCAGGTCCTCCTGCTCCAGCACTCCAGCCAGATTCAGCTGCAGATCGTTGACCAGTTCGGGATCCAAGTTGAGCGAGTCCCCCGAGTTGTCCGGTGAAGCACTGGCTTCGGTGGAGGAGGAGGGGCTGACCGCCAGTTGGGACTCCTCCCCATCGCAGAAGTGGTCGGCGTCCACGAGCAGGGATCCGCAGGCATCGCCGCCACCGTCCTCGAAGCGGTAGAGATCACTGTACGCAGCACGGGGACTCTGCTGGGCATTGAGGTTAGATCCGACCCCGGAAACGGAAACCGAAACGGAAGAGGATGTGACCGTGTAGTTGGAGTGGAAGAGCTGCTGCTGATGATGATGATGATGATGTGGATAAGGATGTGGATGTGGCTGTGGCTCCAGCTGCTGATCGCCGGAGCAATTTTGAGCGTGAAAGGGATTGGCATACACCACACTGGCTGACGTCTTATCCATTTCGGGTAAAAATATTCGTAAAATCCTGGTTGTCTGGCCTTTACTGCTGATCAAACACGAACCGATTTCTTTTGAATATAAAAAACTACTGAAATCTTTGATAACATCCAAGAGACTAGGAGTATAAAAATAAACTGAGCTCCGGCCCAGAGATTTATTGAAAGCTTAAACAGTCGCCTACTTTTGGGTTTTGGCTTCTTATTTCAAAAATGAATACAACATTTAATATTTGTGGAAATCGTAAAACGTAGCTGTTCATAAAATACATTTCACAGTAAAAGAATTTTCTGAACAATTATGATTAAAACAGAAAAATATATCCCCACCACACATTGAAATATTTTTGTATCCAAATTAAATACCGTCAAGAAAATAATCGGAAAAACCAACAGTTACAGTGTGCACACATGTGCAAACTGAAATTCCAATTATTCAGTAGCAACAAAACTGTTAAAATAATATCAGTGCCGCTGGAATAATTTGATTCAATTATGCGGAATTCATTGCCTGAATATGTATTAATAAGCAAACAAAAATGCAATATTACTGCACTTCACCATCATTACCTTTCGATGGAAGTGACCTATTTTTGCCATCGGCGGTCTATAGTCTATAGCCACGGTTGAAATCACCGGGGAACTATGCAAATTTCCGTGATTGGCGGCTAATACTGGTTGGCACCACTGAACACAGCCAACCACTCTTGCAGTTCACTGATGACTTTGCACTTCGCTCGCCGTTCGCGGAAAATTGATTCATAATTTCTGCGCATTTTCACTTTAATCAGCAAAGTTTGATTAAATTTCCACGACGAAGGGAGTGCGGCTAAGAGCCTGGAATCAATTTAAGAGACTCCCGGCGAAGTCCTCAATAGATCTGTAACCTGAGCCCAAATTATTCGGAGACGAGAGTCAAAGGAGGCCAATCAAGGAGCCGGGCACTCATCAAGCCAATTAGCTGCCAATTACCCCACTAATGACCGACCACATTAACCCCACAACAACGGGAGACCCCGAAAAGTGACGGGGCCAAGAATAATGTCCTGCCAACGGAGCGTGGACACTGAGGACATGTTTATTAATATCCCGGACCAGGACCCGGATCCTGATAAACGGACCCCTTACCGTCGTTCTCGCCCAACATTTTCACCCGCCATTCGCTTTTACGACCGTCTCTTTACGACCAAGTCCGCCGACCTTATCGTCCTGTTCTCGGGATCCGAGATACGGGAGACGGGAGTCTGGGATCCGGTGTCCTGGACGGAAGCCCTCCTTCATTAGCAGCCCTCCGCCGGGGTGTCAATTTCATCGGAACGAAGATGTGGCTGTCCAAAGCTCATTAGGTCAGCGTCTCCCTGCAGCTTTACTTTGCTGCCAAACTAAACTTTCGCTTTAACCCGTCAAAAAATGCTCCCTTCTGGAACCATAGAACGCAGAAGTACAGCAGCAGAAGCTGGCAACCGCCGACATGAAATTAAAAATCAACCGTCTTGAAGGGAAAAAACAACAAGGGCCGCAGCGAAATGGAAACTGTTGCTCGCAAAAAGTTCTTTATTCCCCAGCGAAACTTTGTGCGCTCATAAAAATCGAGACAGGGTAAATTGTCTTGCAGGATAATTGCACAAAAGTTTGACTTTGAAGCTCCGTTCGTAATTGAAAAGACAAAAGCGCAGCAAAGCAAAGGAATTGGTCCGGAGAATATGAGCTGCACTTTGGGAATATGACTGGGTCGCATTTGGAGTTCTCCTCGCTGGGAAGATGGAAACTGAGGTGGCGATGGAGATGGAGACTCTTCATCAGCATTTCTCGGTGAACACAGTGCAGCAGATGCTCCTTCGATGTTGTCTTTCGATCCGTTTGCAGCCAAGGAAGGGCTAATGAATTGGCTGTCTGCCGAGGCAAAAGCAAACACGCAGCTCAGCCCAGCAATCCGCCTGAATAAACTGACACGATTCGCAAGGTGCATTGGTTATTCATTGGAGTATCCAATACCCAGCTACTGGAGCAACCCCCTCCGAAAGTCCAATTAATGGAAATGCTCGAGCGGCGCTGCGAATCAATATTCATAAAATGTAATGCGCCCTTAATGGAGATAGATGCGTGCATTAATTATAGGCTGCAATCGAACGGGTGCAATTAAGGGTTAATCGTGGTGTAGCCTTACATGAAGATGGAATAATCAGTTGCCCGCGGAGCTTAACTTGCATTCTATTGAACAACATCTGGTAATCATTTTATTCATAATTAATTATGTAATTGGGGGAGCCTAGATTTAATTCATGTATATACACTTTTTAGTGTTCATCAAAATTCATTGTGGAAATCAATGTTTGTATGTTTATTAGTTCTATGAATAAATAATAATTAAATAATCATATAAAGTAATTCTTTTGTTGGCATATGAGCTCAGTGAACTACATGTACCCCAAACTCAACAGTAGGATGATCATGGTTCGCTACTAAATTAAAGGTCAAAGCATCTGTGGAACCTCCCATATAGTTATCCTCGATTTGTGCAGGGAACTAGAAGAGTGGACTGGTTGTGTTCCCCAGCTTTTGGGGTTTATGCAGCTGGCGCACACAAACACACACACACAAAATAACAAGCAATAAAACGTGTACGTGTCTAAATTTTAATATGGTTTCGGTCCGTACATCCATTTGAAATGTTCATATACATTCCCCTGCACTTGCGGAATGTGTGGGTGGATGGGTGGATGGGTCGATGGGTGGTTGGGTGGCATGTTTGCTGCTGCCTGTTTATTTGACTTGCTACTTATTTATTACGCAGCATAATGAAATTTCACGTAATCCTCATTAAAGCCAGAACAAAGGAGCCAGGACCTGGGGTTTTCGGGCAAACAAATTCAAGGCGTCCTCGTGTACATTTGTGCACATTCAAATCTCAGTCATGACTCAATTTCAGCAGAAAAGTACGCCGAAGAAGGAAGAACAAGGATAAGGGGAATCCCCACTCACCACTCTCCACTCTCCGGCGCACAGATTATCGACTTTTGAAGCACAGCCACTGGAGGCAGACACAAAAGAGAGTCAGACGTCTCCATCGCCCACACGTCCAATGCAAATAAATCAGACAAAGCATATAAATCTAAATTGTATCGCATTGTGGCGCACTTCGCATTTCGCCTCACCTTCGGCTGCTTTATTGGCAAATTGTCGGGTTGAGGGATTGGCCTTTGTGCGCCAATCTTCCTTGCTCCTTCGAGCACCTGACTCCTCAAGTATCGAGTATCGAGTATCCCGTACATCCAGTATCGGGTATCGGTTCGATTGGCTGCCACGTTGATTTCCCATCGATTTTGGCTGCAGCCCCACAAATCGCCACGCCATTCAGCTCTTTTTTCCTGCGGCTTCCATTGTGCTGACAGCGCAATTATCGTCGGAGTATATTGAATGCTGAAATTTTAGCACTCAGTCACTGAGAGTAAAAATTTTCAATTTCGGGGAAGAGGGGAGTGCTCCTAAAAAGGTGAACCAAAGAATGGTTTCCTTAGCAAACTAAGCAGACTTGTGTGAACTCCACTACGAGTTCCACAAATTGCTCAGGTTGATCCTCGTACACACAGTGTCCCCCGTCGAGAATTTGTACCACGGTGTTGGGGAAGTACCTCTGCATCACAGAGATACTGGACGAGGTAACGAACTCCGACTGGGAACCTGCGATGAGGAGCACTTCGCCCATGAAGGGACTCAGTCCACCCAAAGTGGCCTCGTAATCGATCATCAGTTCCGCCCAAGAACTGAGCACCGCTTGCGGATTCACCGACCAGCCGAAAGAATCGTCCTCCAGCTTGCGAAGATTTTGAATCACTCGACGGAGCTCGTGGGAATCCTGCACAATATTCTCGAAGAGTGGCAGGACGAACATGCGTCCTTCGGAGAGCGAGAGATTCGGTGGAATAGTGGGTGCCACTTCAATCATCATCTCGAAAACCTGCCGAGTAAGATAGAAATTGCTGGGCACTGGAGCCGGTGTGATGTCCACCAGGATAACCCGCTCCACCAACTGAGGCTGAGTGAGAGCCAATGTCATCATAGCCCGTCCACCCATTCCATGTCCCAGAGCCACAATCTTGTTGAGGCTTTGATGTCCCATCAGGGCTTGTACATCGGCAGCTAAGTGCAATGGCGAGTGCCCTGAAATGTGAGGACTTAGACCGTGATTTCGGGCATCCACTGTGATCACCTGGCGAAGTCCTTCCTGACTTAGATGACTCGCCACACTTTGCCAGGATGCCGAGGAGAGATTGAGGTCGTGCATCACCACAATCGGAGGAGCCTCCATCTGATTGCGTTGAGAACTATAAGAAAAATACTCCAAGCGGGTTCCCTGCACAAATGTGGATCGATATTTTCCCAGCGATTGAACCCTGGGTAGAATCGCACTGAGCAACCGATGTCTTACCATGACTACCGAAAATTTCGAAAACCTTTCACCTCTGCGGGTTACTACAATCTTTAATTAACTGAGGAACTCCCTTACCTATTTAAATTTTTTCAGATATTTTGAGAGAAGTCTCAATACGTACAAAAAACTGCAAATCACAAACGGAAAGTAAGGAGTAAAAGAAAAATGTGTTTTTATATTTTCGATCAAAAAAATCTATAAAATTTAAATTATTTAAGAAAGAGGAATTTAAGTAATTAAAGATACCATTATTCTGCTTTGAATCCCTTTAAATATTAGATATATGTAGTTTTAATAAATTCTCATTTGCTGTTTAAAGGAACGACTTTGAGTTAACTCGGCAGACAGCAAGAATTGCACCTGGGGATATTGCGCATACGCCCCGTTGCGGCTGTCGTCTCGGGAACATTGTGTGGTATTAGCCTCCAGTAATCCACTGGGGCTAATGCCTCGTTTACCGCTCCGGAATCTAAGCGCTTTCATGTCGCTTACAGTTGCGGCTGCCAGTACAAATCCCCAAATTGCGTAATAAATAAAATGCACTTGCGTGGAAAATTAAGAAATGGCAGAAGGCGCTGGGAAATGTAAAATGGGGGGTTAGCAAAATTCAAATTTCCACATTTTCATATTTTTACATTTTCATAATGTAAGCCGGGCTGGGTTTGCCATCACAGAGGGCATAAATCATGGCGAGTGCTCAGTCGCAGACACAAACAAATCGCCTCAGACATTTCTTGTTACTTCTTACTTGAATTCCCTTTTGCTGGCACAAATCGAAAGATTACGATGGAGTTTTGTTTGTTCTTTAAGGCCGCGCCAAACGGATTCCGTCTAATGGCTGGTAAAGAAATGAATGCAAATTTCAAAACTATTTCCAACCAGAATCCGCTGCCTTTGAACATCGAGAGCCCGTGACTGGATTAAGCCATCGAAGTGGGAACACTCGAAGGCAGCTGTCTGTCTCCGCTTGACAGTATCGGAGGCACTTTAGATCCAATTTCAAGCTATTGACACAATGAAGCACCCTTGAGTAGTGCTTCGCCGGCGGAGGAGAACACAAAACGAACTAAATAAATAAACTGGAAACCTCATTTGGAGCCATAAAAAGCGAACTTTTGAATGCAAACCGAAAGTTGAAGACGTGTTTACCCCTTTTCCAATCAGCCCCATTGAAAAGTTTAGCGACAATGAAATCCCTCGAACGCTGGCAAGGGGGAACCCCCCGCGGAATCAGACCTCCAAATGCCTGTTAAAGGCTTACCTCAGTCTGTCAGCGAATTCCATTCAAAACCTCGGACGTTGTCCTGTTGCCGAGCGGCTAAATACTTGACAAGTTTGGGGGAATGCCTTCATCTCCACAGCGTCACAATCCCATTGCGATTGGGAGCGGGAAGCCGGCAAATTTATCCGCGCAGCTGCACTGGATTCCCATTCAGCAGGAGAGCTGAATGCGGAGAAGAGTCCTTTGGGAAAGGAATTTATAAACAAAAACAAATGCACGCAACAGTTAGGAGCTTTAAATCCAAGTGTCATTCTATACCGGCATAATGCGCTTTGCTAGGATCAAAAATCACTAATACTTAACAAAATTATTAAATTTTATTTTAAGGGTTTATTTATACTGATATTGATATTAATACATTTTTAAACTGGTCTTGTTTGAAGTTAATGTTTATCTGCTACCGGCTTAATTCCTGTAGCGGTTTGCGTCGCAGGTTTCTGAGAACACTTTCTGCACTGAGACCACTTTCAGCACTTTCCAATACAGCAACCCCAAGCTTATAACCGGCTTACCCGTTTCGAGGGTTTGGTGATTGACTAAAGTCTTAAAATCCTTGTAGATAAAATTCAAACTATAAACTTGAAATATATATTAAACATCCGTGCAACTTCGAACTTTAGATTTATGCTGGGTTCATTAAATTTTGTACGTTAGATTTTTTTTAAATTATTTTTGTACCTATAAAATAAAAATTGATTTAAAAGCATTTCTTATAAACCTGACCATGTCTTTAATTTTATCTACTGTTTTGCATTATTCTTTTGAGAAATAACATCTACATAAAAAAATGTTAGAAAATATTCCTTCTATAAAATTTGAATGCCGGAACATCAAAGATTACTTAAGCAACCCTTAAAAAAGGACGACCAATCGGAGCGCGCCAAACTGTTGCCAATCCAAAATGGCCTCCAAGCAGATGCTGCCATCCGGCGGGGAGGAAAATCCAATAAGCCAAATTCGAAAGCAGAACCGAGCTGACTTAGCAGCCCGTGCGGACAATCAGAATTTATTGGAACACAGTCTTCCAAGCAGAACAGACCCAAGGTCTTCCAATTGCAGTAGCAGTAGCAAATCCAATCGGACAGACAAACATGCAGCATCCGCATCCCAGTGACCAGCCCACATATATGCCAGAGGTTCCCTTCCAACCGCTTTGGGGTCAAGAGGCTCCACCACCTCCCATTGTTCCTTACCAAGAACTCATCGCCGGATTTCCCTGCACCGATTTGTGTGAGTACCTTAAAGGAAAATCTCTTTGAAAAGGTATTAAATATAAATTTCTGATTAAACAGCTCTGTGGCAAAGATCGCAGGTAACTCCATTGGTGCCACAACGTCCAACCACAAATGGCAGGGCCAACGGATCCTCCAGCTCCTCGAAGAAAACCCGTCGACGTGTGGCCTCGATGGCACAAAGAAGGGCTGCTAATATCCGCGAACGCCGACGGATGTTTAATCTGAACGAGGCCTTCGACAAACTGCGACGCAAGGTGCCCACATTCGCCTACGAAAAGCGGCTTTCCCGCATCGAAACCCTTCGACTGGCCATCACCTACATCGGCTTCATGGCGGAGCTGCTCAGCGGTACTCCATCGAATTCCCACAAATCCCGATCGGATGTCTATGGCAGCATGAATGGACACCATCAGGCGCCTCCGCCGGCAATCCATCCGCATCATTTGCATCCTGCGGCGGCATATCAACGCGACTTTGCATCGCCCTATAACCATAGTTTAACCTAAGGTTCTTTCGATCTCTGAATACAGAGGAACTAGTCTTCGAACAAAGAAAATTAAAGCCTAGCAGGCTGGCTTTAGGTGATTATGACGAGAGGTATTCCTGGAAATACCGTGGAGTCCCTAGTCAAATCAGCTTTGATTTATAACATAAATGTAGATAGAAATTAATGAAGAATGTTAATCCGTAATTTAATGTTTGTTTTAAAAACAATAATAAATATTGCTTATAACTGCTAAACTTCTGATTTTTATATTTTCAATCAATAGATAATTTATGTCATATCTTTAAACCTAGGATATGTATTTTAAACCATTTTAGCTTTCTAATGTTTTTATTTCTGTATTAAGAGTGAATTTTTTAAATTGTTGCTTCAAGAAGAAAGGGGGAAATAAAGAGGAATAGAAACCCATTTGGGACATAATCAAATTAGGTAAACTGAAGGACAAACAAATTAGTAGTCTTAACTTGGTGGTGGCTTTAAAGTCAAAAGTACCACCAACATACACCTGATAATCCCTTAAACACAACCCGCACTTGTTACCAAAAAAAAGTATAGTAAACCAAAGCGAACCGCATTGTGATTTGCGTGCGAATCCTTGCAGCTGCTGGGAGGAAACACATGTCCAGGACCTCTTGGGTATCCTCAATGAAGTCACATTGCATACAGAGCGGGAAGGTTTCCTAAACGGAACCCGAAAACTATTATACAAAATTTGACAAGGCAAACAAAGCGTGAAATTATTATTAATAAATTGATGCGCTCGGGGGGAGAGTCAAAAAAAAAAGAGGGCAGCAATTCAAAGTCAATTGTAACAACCCCTAACCAACGAACACCCCGAAACAAGTGTAACACTTGAGGGATTGCCCATTTCAGGCTAAATACCAAGGAATTTTTGCGTTCAACGCCCATTGCCAACAGATTAGCGCCCCTCATCCGAGGACCAAATTAATTCGGAACGGATATTGCACGGACGGCGGTTGCGGAAGTCGGAAAATGGTCCTCTACCTGAGGGTTGACTTCGCCCCTTGTTGCTGTTGTTTTGGTAGTTTGGTGGACAATATGTTTTGACGAATTTGTGACACTTCATGCCGAATTAGATCGCTTTCCATATGCAGAACAATCGGGGTGGGTTGCCCCATACCCTTCCAAAATAAAGAGGCCTCACGTGTCGGCGATTAGCGCATTAGTAAACTCTTTGCTATCTGAGATATACTAGTATATCTTCCAATCTCAACTCCATAAGTTCATTTTTCCGTCACCTGTTGTGTGAGAAAGTAGCATAGTATATTAAATATTATATTTAGATCATGACACGTGTGCCTTATTAACTTCTTCCCTTACAAAATCACTGTGATCATCCATCGACTGAGATTGACAATTGCATTCCTCCCCTTTGTATGTCGAATCGGTATGACAAATTAATTGAATTTTGTTACAATTCTTGACATTTTGCGCCATTTTTCGACACATTTTCGGGTCTCTATTAGGGCAGAATTCAATATATATTAGGTGATGATGGATGGGATTATAGAGCATATAAAACAGATGTTCCTGAGCTACTTAACTTTTGCAAGAATATTCTGCAAGTGCTCTGCATAGTTGGAAACAACTTACCGCTCTCATTTGGAGCAAAATAGTTGACTTATCTAAGATAAGTTGAAAATCAGCAATCATGTTCGTAAATTTCAATCATATAACCTACATGCCCTATCTACGCACTTATCGATTCTTGTGTACACATGTATGAAAAGAGCTTGCCGGGTTTTCCTACTAGCCGTAAAATTGCCGGGCCAAGTTCAGTTTGCAATTGAGAACGGAGGAGAATGTCGAACAGAATTCTGGTAACGCAGCTATCCCAAGATGTGTCTTTGCCGACTTGGCTGGATGTGAAGGATTTGGAGAGCTTAGTGAAGCAGGATATTCCGGAGTTTAGAAAAATCGAGAGTTTTCGTTGCAAGTGGGAAGTTCAATTAGCACAACCAGCACTCTGTGTTCAACTTCAGGTTTTGGTGGCAGGTGAGAGATTATATGAGTACCTACCTCTTTATTTTTTTCGCTAACTATTATAACCACAGATAACAAAAAACGCCTAGTGAGTTACCTAGTCAAATCACCAGAATCACTTTCGGTTGGTTTGAAGGTACCGATCAAAGGAGATTTTTCTGTGGAGAGTCACATTTACGAGATCGTATTACCTGCTGTAGAAGACTTGTATAAAAATGAAGGGAAGATCCTTCACTTCAGCCCGCCAATCATCAAGGCAAAACAAAAATCCAACCACCTCTATTTGGAGTATATCCTAAACAAGGGTTATTCGGTGGCGAATAGCCTGAAAGGTTTGTCCGTAACCGCAATGGAAGGAGTACTTTCGAAACTGGCTGCTTATCATGCCGGGACAGCTACCTATATAGCGCTGAATTCCGGAAAGATTAGGGAGCTTCCAAAGCTTGGGGGGTATCCGAAGTCCGCGGAAGAGGTTGCTGAACTCAAGAGCTTGTACCAATTGCGATTTCACGAGAGTCTGCGATCAAACAACGCCGGAGAGTATGAAGATAAGGTGGTAAGTACTATTAATGGTATATAACTAAATACTCCTCAAGTAAATTCAAAACATTCCTAGAAATCATTTCAAAAGTATGTGAATGCAAATACCAACACTCTGGATTTGAAAACATCCTTCAATGTCATCCTAAATGGAGCCTGTTGGCCAAACAATGTACTCATCCAAGTCGATGCATTTGGGAATGTGAAGGATTCGCTTTTCAGTGATTTTCACGCTGCAAAATACGGACCAGCTGTTTATGATCTTTTCAGTTTACTGCTCACTGCCCCGGCTGAAAAATCAAGAAGATTTGATTACTTCGTTAAGTATTATCACGATCAGCTGGTCGAAAATCTGAACCTACTAAAATTCAAGGGAAAGAAGCCCAGCCTTACGGATCTTCAACTGGATTTACTTAAATACGGCCATTGGGGTAGGTCAAAAAGAGATGATAATTTAATCAAACACTATTTCTGGTTTTTTTTATAAATAGCTTTTGAGTTTGCCACTGAAATTCTGCCAATCATGCTCTCCGATTTTTCAAGCATTGAAGACACAGATGAGCTCTTCAAGAATCCAGTGTTTGGAGAACAAATCAGAGAACTTCTGCCCTGGCTGGAGAATCGCGGATACTTCGAAAAAGATTAGACTAGTCAATTACTGATTACTGTATAATGAAAACAAATTAATAAACAAATAAATGTTTATTTATGTTAATTACTTCACTTACGATTTCTATATATTTTATTAACATCATTGAAAAAATAATAACAGATTTATGTGAAGAGATTTATGACGTTATTAACAGTGGTTTAAAGACTTACCGCTCACGGTCCAATAGTACAATGTTTAAAATTCTAATTAATGCAGGCACGAGTCATCTTTGAAAGCTTTTGGAGGCTTATCAATTTGTCTGAGTAAACTTTTATTGGAGCTTCGTGGAGAGCATTATTAGGGAGATAAACAACTCCGAATTTCGCCAGTCATCGCAAAAAACAGTCGTTGTAATAGTGAACAAGCATTATAACAGAATAGGAAGGATCGCCAAAGTGGTTTTCCTCGGCTATCAGATACCCCTATTCTAACAAACAATTTGAAGGGGTAAGGCAGCATTTAAAATAGAACAGCTGTTTATTATTATAATCTGCATGTTTATTTCCAATTCTGTTTGAAAACCGTGAGTTCTTTTTAAGTTACGTAAAAGTGGGCGTGGCACCATTTTAAAATAAGCATGCCCTGCTTACCTTACGTGGTCGCGAGTGCTTCCGTCCTTAACTGTTTCATCTAATACAGCATACCCTTATACACAACAAGTACCAGGTATAACAAACACGATCATCAGAACTTTAAAGCAGCAAAAACTACTAGAACTTGACTGTAATGAGTGACTAGACATTTTTTCTTGCTAGTCAAAAATGAAAATAGCTTTAGCACTGCAGGCTATCTCCGATCTGAACAAACAGGTCCACCCGGATCGCAAAGCGTCCCCCCACGTCTACTTAAATCAAACAACGAAATGGAGGCAAAGCTTTTGAACGAAAAGCTTTAAACGGTTTGCACAATATAAGGGAAGCCCCATTCGAAGTGGGACAAATTGCGGATCCAACAGGTAGACGGAATGGTTCAAGAAAAAAAGAACAGCTCCTCCGAAGAATTGCCGGCGTGGCTAGACCAAAAATGCTTCGAGGATTTTCTGTACCTTGATTTTCCGGATCTTAAGGAAATCAAATCGTTTTCGTTGGAACCCTCAGCTGGAAAGGGCGAAAACTACACAACGTTGATGTTAAGGGCGAATTTTGAATTGGAATTGAAAGGTAATTAAACAAGAAAGAAACTGGTTGGAAATGTTATTTGTTTTTAAACGACATTTCAAAACTTAATGAGCTACTGAATAATAATTATTAATTTTATATCACTTAAAACTTTTAGATGGCTCCCAGGAGAGTATCTCGTATATGGCGAAGCTGTTGCCAAACTCTTTTAACCGTGATAATGTCGTCAGCTGGAAAGTATTCGACAAGGAGCGCAAAACCTATGGAACCTACATTCCCGAATTCGAGCAGTTGTACAGAGAGGCTGGCAAGGAAGTTTCCTTCGGAGCGCGTTATTATGAACTGAAGAATCAGCAAGAAGAGGAGCTCATTGTATTGGAGGATCTGGGCAGACGCGGATTTACAAATGTTAATCGCCAGATTGGCTTGGATATTCCGCACACTGAGGCAACTTTAGAGAAGTTGTCCCAGTTTCATGCAGCCTCTGCAGTGCGATTCGAACAGAAAGGAGCATATCCTGAAATGTACAATCGCAACCTGTGGGGCGAAGAGGACAGCTTTAAGGAATTTCGCGTAACCCAAACAAAGGCCTACGTCGAATCCTTCCCCCTCTACGAGGCCAATCACTTGGCAAAGGCTGTGGTAAGAATAGAAAATAATATAACAACAATGACTAAAAATTAATAACCTATTACTAAATAGGAAACCTTTGGCAAACAATCGGTGGATATGTTCCAGGCTTATGTGCCAAATATTGAAGGCGAGTTCCGTGTTCTAAATCACGGTGATGCCTGGTGCAATAACGTTATGTACAGATATGATGAGGCTGGAAAGCTGATTGAAACATGCTTTGTGGATCTGCAGATGAGTCGATTCTGCTCGCCCGCCCAGGACTTGCTCTACTTGATCCTATCCTCCACCCAGGCGGAGATTAAGATAGTGAAATTTGATTACTTAGTACAGTTTTACCATAAAAAGCTGATAGAGAACCTGAAGCTACTCAAGTATTCAAAGCCACTGCCTTCGTTAAGGAGCCTTCACCAATCGATTTTTATCTACCAAGATTGGAGTAAGTAATTTAAAGATTCTTATTATATCAACTTAAAACTAAACCCTTAAATTATTGTCCAACAGTTCTGCCAGTCGTATCCATTCTGCTGCCAATTGTCCTGGTCGATAAGAGTGATGATGCCAACATGGATAGTTTGATGGACAACGAGGGAGCAGGAGACAAATTCCGGAACAATTTGTTTAGGAATCCTCGCATGATTAAACACCAAAAAGTAATTCTTCCTTGGGCCTACAATCGAGGCGCCTTTGAAGTCACCAATTAAGTGCAGAAACTGTTGATATTATTTAAGTTTGTAAATAAACAAGAGCCATAGAAGAATTCATTATCAGTTAATCAATTCTTATCGCTGAATTTTGTTTAAGGTTTGAGCATTGGGTTATCAGTTGAAAAAATGGCTGTTATCACTGAATTATTTTATTGAGTGTCTCACAGGTAGTTTAAATTGCCTCAAACATTTTTGTAAGCTAAAGCGTAACATTGTCGGCGATGATGAAATAATTAACCCGTATCAACGCGATCTGAACGCCATAACTAGGGGAAAACTTTGGCTGCCAAACATCAGTTCACATTGGATTCCGCAGTCGATCGGACGTACAGAATTTCGCGAGTTCTAGTCAAACTGCTATTGTTTCACGATGGGTCAACGTAATTCCAAGTCGAAAAACAGCAACGAGGTAGCTGAAACCGACACGAAAAATCAGAGAAAGACCTCCATAAAAAGTTCGCGGTCCACTAATGCGAAAATTGAGGGGTCACCCACTCAAAATGACCCACCAAAACCGACCCCTGCAATTGAGGAGGGCAATATGGGGCCAGAGTGGTTGAATGAAGCGCAATTTGAGGAATTACTCGCCACGAATATCGCTCAGTTCTCCAAGATAGTGAACTTCCGGGTGAAACCAGCCATGCAGCCCGGTGAAAATTATGCCACTTTAATGCTGAGGATCAGCATAGATGTGGAACTCACTGGTGAGTCTTCTACGAAGTAGATATATACTGCATTGTAAAGAATTCCTAGATAACTAGCTGAAGAATTGCATAAGCTTGCCGACCCAAAACAAAAAGCGCAATAAATGAAGGCTTTTATTTGAGTCGTCTGGCGATAAGTAGTATCTCCACTTTATTTATAGGAACAACACAATAAATGCTTGTTGCATGGGTCACTTTACAATAATAGCAAGTGCATGTCCCATAAAAATTTGCTATTGTTTCAGATAAAAGCACCAAACTGGTCTCCTTTATGATGAAGGTTCCCCACAGGACTCCCCAAATGGAGCAAATGCTGGCCATGGCCAACTTCTTTAATACGGAGAATGCAGTCTATTCGGATATAGTGCCTAAATTTGAGGAGCTTTACAAGGCCAAGGGCTTGGACATTACCTTTGCACCCAAAGCGTTCAAACTAGACCCCAAAATGGAACCAAATTTGGCTAACACAGTGCTTATGAGTGATATGGGACAGGATGGTTTCAAGAACTTAAATCGTCTCGAGTGCCTCAACTTGGAACAGACCAAGTTTGCCCTCACAAAACTTGCACAATTCCATGCGGCATCTGCGATGAATGTGCAGGTTAATGGACCCTATGCAGATAGATTTATGAACGGACTTTTCGGAGGGGATAAGGAGTTCCTATTAAAGATCTATGAAGGAATGATAACCCCTTTCCAAAATGCTTTCCTGGCCAATCTGAAGAGCCTCAAGAACGGAGAAGACTTTCGTGAAAAATTGGTAAGACTTCACCAATCATAAATTATATGAACTAGTAGTAAAGATAATATTTTCAGGTTAAAGCATTCGCCCAGCTCTTCTCAGACTTTGATTATCTAATGAAGATCGATCCCGATGAGTTCAATGTACTAAACCACGGAGATTGTTGGATGAACAACATGCTGTTTAAAGTGAACGCTAAAGGAGAATTGGAAGACATGGTGTTTGTGGACTTCCAAAACCCCAAATATGGTACTCCAACTCAGGACTTGTTCTACTTGCTTATGACATCGGTCCACATCGACTACAAGCTGGATTACTTTGACTTTTTCATCAGGCATTACCACGAGCAGTTGACCAAGCACCTTAACTTGCTGGGTTTCACTGGTAAGCAGCCTTCTCTGAGGGAACTTCACATCCAGCTGTTCAAAAAGGGAAGTGGGTCTCTGGCTCCCGCGATTACTGTGCTGCCAGTTGTGCTTTTGGATCCTAATAATTTGGCCACCTTCGACAATTTCCTGGGAGACACCGAATCCGGTGCGCAGTTCAAAAACCTTCTCTACAGCAACAAACGCTACCATGGCTACATCGAAAAGATTCTACCCTGGCTGGAAAACAGGGGTTTCTTGGAATCCTAGTAAGGTCTAGTTTTCGAAAAAGTTAAACACGAAGTATAATTATAATAACTTTTAGCAATGAGTCCAAACCATCTGAATCAACTTCAGAAAAGAAGTCCGAAATATCCAACCAGATATTAGATTGGCTTAATGTCAGTGATTTTGAAGAAATAATATCCCCCTCTGAACCCGAGTTTGGTAAAATTCTAAGTGGTTCCTGGACTTCAGCAACCAAACCCGGTGACAACTTTGCTTCCAAACTCCTTAAAATTGATATACAGACGCAGTTAAAAGGTGAGTAAAAATATATAAATAATATTACAATATAATATAATAACTAATCATGATGATCTAACAGATAAAAGTGAGAAGACATTTTCCTACATACTTAAAGTGCAACCGACCACAACCAAAGATAACTTCACTGATATAAACATGTTTCCCAAGGAAATGGAAATGTACCGAAAATATGTGCCCGCTTTTGAAAAACTCTACAAAGATGCAGGCTGTACAATTACTTTCAGTGCAAAGTCCTATGTTTTTAACAAACCTGTCAAGGAAGAATATCTTTTAATGGAGAACCTTCAGAGTAGTGGTTTTAAGATGGCCGATCGCATGAAGGGATTGAACATGGAGCACACAAAGAGCGCACTAAAGAAACTTGCCCAATGGCATGCGGCTTCCATTAAATATAAGGAGCTCAATGGACCTTATTCCACACTGTACAACGATGGAATTTATATTGAACAAACTAGGGAAATGTACACCACTATGTTTTCCACCGCAAAGCATTCCTATATTGATATATTCAGAAAGTTTGAGGGCGCCGAGGAATTTCTGCCTAAACTGGTAATGTACTTAACTACACAAAGTCATGACAATATTTCTCACCAAAATATGATTTTAATATAGCCCTGGATTATAGACAATCACGTAGATCAGATCTTGGAAGATGCCAAAATCAATGAGAAAGAGTTCAATGTGCTTAATCACGGCGATGCCTGGATAAACAACATTATGTTCCAATACGACTCAAAAGGAAATGTGAAGGAAACCTTCTTGCTGGATCACCAAAATGCTAAGTATGGCAATCCAGCTCAAGATCTTTACTACTTCCTGATGAGCTCTGCAGAATTGGATATCAAGGTCGATCAGTTTGATTACCTAATAAGATGGTATCACGAGAACTTAGTGGAGCATACAAGCTTGTTGAAATACAACGGATTTGTTCCTTGTCTCAAAGAACTCCACTCTATTTTAATAGATCATCCAGCTTTCGGTAAGTGTTTAAATTATACCACGATGTAGTTTTTAAGAACTGTATTTCTTTTTCAGCTGCTGGCACAGTCATTAGTACCTTAACAGTTTGCCTTCTTAACGCCGACGAAGGTTTTAATCCCGAAGCATTTTTCGTGGAAACACCAGAATCAGAGGCCTTTAGATTGAAGCTTCTAGGCAATGAGCGTTACAAGGCACATATTGAACGGATTATGCCTTGGCTCAACAGGAGGGGTCTACTTGACCCCTAAAAGTACTTCCCAAATGTGATAAATCTTGTTTAGAAACCAAATAAACTACTTTATGAGAAATTGAAGAGGCAAAGTCTTCAATTGTTTGTACAATTACACTGACAAAATACTGTTATTAATATTAATTGTTATTTTTGTGGAAGGCTTATATACCTTTACATAAAAAAAATGTAAATAAAATTGTTCACCAAAAAAGTTGTTTTTATTATTTTAAAGGGTAAAAATAAGCATTGCTACAGTGTTTTTGCGGCATTTTTGTCAAAGAACCTGCCTCAATTTTTTCAGACTCAGCTGTATCTTTAGCTGATATCATCTCCGATCACATCTCAACAAAAAAAAAAAAACTAAAAACCCAGCTGATAGTAAAGCCTTCTTATAAAAAACTGTGCTATTGATAAAAAAGCCTATCTTTATTTTTCTGTTAGAATTATCAACCGAATCACTCTTATCTTAAAAAAGTGTTTAAGTTCACGCTTATCAAACATTCTGATTAGCTTTAAATACACTATAAAATACTGATGAAATAATAACAAAAATGTTGTTAATGACAAATTTTTATCGCCGTTATCAAGTCGACCGGTGATTAGAAATGCATAACTATAGGGGCTAGTCGTGTGCCAAATTTCAGTTTACCGCCGATCGCTCAACTGAACGGACGCGAATCACCAGTTGCTATTCATTTTTCTATATACTCGATCACCAATAACTATACGATGGGTATAAGAGGTTCCAAGTCAAAGCAGAGCTATGAAGTGAAAACTTCTGACCCGCAAAAGCAAAAAACCCAAAAGGTGAACTCTGATCCCCCTGCTCCACCTACAAAATCGGAACCAGAGATTGACCAAAGCAATTTGGTGCCCCAGTGGTTGAATGAAACGCAATTTATTGAATTACTTGCCGCGAACGTAGCTGACTTCTCAAAGATAGTGAATTTCCGGATAAAACCCGCCATGTCCCCTGGAGAAAACTACGCCACTTTAATGCTGAGAATCAGTATTGATGTCGAACTCACAGGTAAGTTTTTTGGTAAACCAAGCGATAAGGGTTAGGGTACTCCCATTCTACTATTTATAGCCCTAATAAGACATTAAACTGATCAAGCAGAAATAACGCAATGTAGGTTTGTTTCTTCGTGTAGGTCGGAGATAAGTTCGATCACGTAGTATAGTATACACGAATCATTTATAGTCAGTTAGCAATTAGTGTTTGACGACCGTTTTGCTGCTCACTATGACTTGCCATTATTACGCTTATTGGCGATGACCGACCGACTTTATTGCTTTTCAATAAAAGTTATTACTTAAACATCAAATTTAAATGTAATAATTTTTAAAAATTTTTACCAGACAAGAGCACCAAACAGGTCTCCTACATGATGAAGACTCCACATGACACTCCTCATATGCAGCAAATGCTGACCATGGCCAACTTTTTTGTCACCGAGAACTTAGCCTATATTGATATACTGCCTAAAATGGAGGCGCTCTATAAGGCCAAGGGTCTAGACATCAAATTTGCGCCTAGAGCATTCAAACTGAACTCCGAAAAGGAACCTAAACTAGCCAACACAGTTTTGATGAATGATCTCGGTCAAAATGGTTTTAAGAACTTGAACCGTCTGGAGTGCCTCAACTTGGAACAAACTAAGTTTGCTCTAAGGAAACTATCTCAGTATCATGCAGCTGGTGCCACGATGGTCCAGGAACACGGTCCCTATCCTGATGTATTCCTATACGGCGCGATGGGAAAAAATATAGATGCTATAAGGGGTTTTGTCGAACAAATGGTGGGAACTTTTAGAACTTCATTTTTAGCTAATCTGGATAAGTTCAGCAATGGAGAAGCGTACCGTGAGAAACTGGTAGGTAATTACTTTTTATAGCAAAACCAAGTTTATAATATTTCAACTTTACTTAGGAAAAAGTTCTGGCGGGCCTGTCTGATGAGTTCATGAAGCTGGGCGCCATCGATCCCTCTGAATTTAATGCGTTGAACCATGGCGATTGCTGGATGAATAATCTGCTGTTCAAGGTCGACTCCAAAGGGGAATTGGAGGATGTGGTTTTCGTTGATTTCCAGAACCCCAAATTCGGCACCCCCGCTATGGATTTACTCTACTTTATTATGACCTCTGTGCACATTGACTACAAGCTGGACTACTTTGACTTCTTCATCAGGCACTACCACGAACAGTTGACCAAGCACTTGGATATTTTAGGATTTACTGGACGACAGCCTTCGTTAAGGGAATTGCACATTAATCTGATCAAGCACGGTGGTTGGGTTCTTTTCCCAACGATTGCAGTGCTGCCAGTGGTTCTTTTAGACCCCGTTGAGTCGGCCACATTTGAAAACTTCATGGCAGAAACCGAAGCTGGCGCCAATTTCAAGAACCTTTTGTATAGCAACAAACGCTACAAGGGTTACATTGAAAAAATTCTGCCCTGGTTGGAAAATCGTGGATTTCTGGAGCCCAGGTAAGCCATTGAAAATATTATTTTATCAACAAATTAAACGTATGTTTCTTTTAGCACTGACTCTATTCCATCTATTCAACCTCCTGAGCCAGCAGCACAGCAGCAATCACAGCCTGAGGCTCCCACCCAGATCCTGGACTGGCTCAATGTCAGCGACTTCAAGGAGATCATTTCTGCCAACGAACCCAATTTCGAGAAGATAGTCAGCGGCTCTTGGAAGTCCGCCACGAAGCCTGGAGACAATTATGCTTCTAAGCTTCTGAAAGTTGATATCGAAGCGCAATTAAAAGGTAACAATCTACAGGTAAAAGTAAACAAAAATAAAAAAATTAATTTCTTTCCTTTGCAGACAATAGCGTCAAGTCCTTTTCTTACATCCTGAAGGTGCAAACATCCAACGAAGTAATCAACTTCTCCGACTTCAACTTGTTTCCCAAGGAGATCGAGGTGTACGGCACATATGTACCGGCCTTCGAAAAACTCTACAAGGATGCCGGCTTGCCTGTCACGTTTAGTGCCAAGTCCTTCCGCCTCAGCAAGGATGTCAGCGAGGACTATCTGATATTGGAAAACCTGCAAACCAGCGGATTCAAAATGTGCGACCGCATGAAGGGAATGGACTTGGAGCACACCAAGAGCATGTTAAAGAAATTGGCCCAGTGGCATGCAGCTTCACTGAAATACAAGGAACTCAATGGACCTTATCCGCCAAAATACAACAATGGCATCTTTACGGTGCAAACTGCTGATATTTTCAAGGGTATGTTTGCCCAAACGAAGAAACCATTTTTGGAAGAAGTGGCCAAGTTTGACGGCGTCGATGAGTATCTACACAAATTGGTAATATTTGCTTATGATTTTTGTAGTACTTCAATAAATAGGCACTCTTTTGTAGGCCCAAATTATGGACGTCCATGTGGATAAAATAATTGAAGATGCCAAGATCAATGAGCACGAGTTCAATGTTCTTAATCACGGCGACGCCTGGATTAATAACATCATGTTCCAGTACGATGCGGAGGGTCACGTAAAGGAAACCTTTTTGCTGGATCATCAGGTCACAAAATACGGAAATCCTGCCCAGGATCTGTACTACTTCATCATGAGCTCCACTCAGTTGGACATAAAAGTTGATCAGTTTGATTATCTCATCCGTTGGTACCATCAAAATCTAGTGGAACACACCAAATTGTTGAAGTACAATGGATTTGTTCCCTCTCTAAAGGAACTACATATCATTTTGCTAGAGCATCCTGTTTTTGGTAAGTTTTATTTAGGGGTTTGCTCTCAAATATATTCGGATTCATTAATTGTTCTCTTTCAGCTGCTGAAACTATGCTAACCACCTTGACAATTTGCCTAAACAAGACGGATGATAATTTCTCTACCGATGACTTGTTTAAAGACAGTAAGGATGCGGAATCCATGAGAACGGAAATTTTCAGCAACGAACGTTACAGAGCCAACATCGAGCGCGTTATGCCGTGGTTGAATAGACGAGGATTGCTTGACGCCTTCACCTCTTAATAAGAACAATTAACTTGTTATGCCTTGACTGAAAAGAGAAAAACCAGGAGAATTTGGGAATATATTTTTTCTATTTTAACAAACGACTAAATAAATGTGTGATCACAATTCTATTCTTTTAGAGGGAGCTAACATTGTTTTCCCCGATTTTTCTTACTTTAGGGCGTATTTTACGGCCACAATAATACTAGAAACGAAGATTACGGCCAGGGCAAGCTTCCTGAGATTGGCACGATTTACACCCTTGATTGTTCGCACAACTTCTATATTTAGACGAAATACGTTGCGACTCTCTTCAATAAAAGCTGCGCGCAGATCATCGTCAAAAGCTCCATAATGATTGTTGAACACACGCCTGAGTTTTGCCTTAAGAACGGATATCTAAAAACATAAGGTTTGAGATTTAAATTGTTCAAATACGTTTTTTTTTTTCAAAAAGATATATTAATGTAAAATAACTATTTATGTTTAGGGTTCTTTTTCTTAGCTTGTTAAGTGAAGAATTGATATGAAGATCTGATCTTTTTAAATGCGTACATACCTTTTCGGGAAAATAGGTGGCCTCGCAACCAACGGGGCAAATGGTGACTTGAGCGGGCATGGGCCTGGCCTGCAAGTCGTCTTTGTTCAGAGAAGCATCGGCGGCCCTGGCAGTGGCCAACTCGGCTTCCTTGTCTGCTTGCTTTTGCTGTTCCTCGTCAGAATCCTTCGAAAAGATCCAGAGCTTACGAGCGATCATGCGTTTTTTCTGCAGCATTTGGCCACCCGACATCAAAGCCATGTACATTTGGTAGGAGTAGGCAAAAAGTAGCAACTCATTCTGCGCGGCAATCTTTTCCAGGTGCTCCAGATATTTCTGAACAGCCGGTCTGATTTCGTAAGTTTCACGCCATTTAGAACCGTAAAAATAATCGAAGTCCCTCTCGAAAGCCGCGGTCCTGTAGAATTCCTTGGGCAGCAGGCGCTCCGGCAAATGTGTCTCAAAGAATTTGTACAGTTCGTAGAAGGCTAAAAGTCCGTCATACCAGACTTCGTCGTCCGAAAGGGCTAGAGAAAAAGGGAATTTATAAAAAATAAATAAAGTGAAGGGGCAGCTTTGAACCTACCAAGAGCGAACTTTGCATTGACCAGCACATCAGTGAGATTATGCACATCTTTTGTGGCTTTACGCAACTCCTTTGTGAACGCCATGTCCACAAATTCCACATCCTCCACATTCTCTGGGGACTGGATGTCCGCTGTTGTTTCCTCGGCCGTTGACATGTTTTTTCTGCGCAGCTATTATTTCAATTAAAAAGCAAGAATTTAACCTTATCTACGTGATAATTTGCAAAATACGCCGTCTTTGTTTTGTTTTGAACTCTCAATTAGTGTGACCGCTGTGGGCTGTACTTAAATATTATTAACCGTACAATACCGGAAGATACCAAACAGTTATTGGCGGCAATTTCATGTTTACACGAAACTGGTCATACTGTTTGAATTAGGCTGTAGCTGCTTATTTTTATTTTGTTTAGTAATTTAAGAAAAACATAAGTATAAGAGAACAGTGTCTTAATCAAAATAATTGTAAGTGTTGGCTGAGTTGAAAACAACTGCTGCAGCAACCTGGAAAGGGGCAAACTTTATTTTAGCTTACACCAGAAACGACTAACATTTAAGACCACATATGAAAATTGACCACTATTCTTTTACTTTCATTTCGCTTGCAATCAATACACCCACACACACCGACTGCAGTTGAGACAGCAGGACGACACACAACAAAAAACAACAAGTACAATAACGCTTTTGGCTTTGGTTCTGCACTTTTAACACTCCCTCAAACCCACCTTTCTGTACCTTCTCCTTCCAACGCCTCACACTTGAATTGAGTCTGAAGAAAATACACCCAAAAGCAATGTCGGATCTCTTTACCACTTTCGATAGCAACGGCGTCGCCGAGCACCACCTGCACCACAACAGCAACAACCACACCACTCCACCCATGGCCTCGCCCTCCCAGCACAGTCCGATGACCAACAACAGCAACTCGTCCTCGCAGAACGGCGGTCCCATTTCCGGTTTGGCCACGGGCACCCCATCCGGTGGTAGCAAGTCATCCAATCACACAGCATCCGCCGCAGGCTCCGAGAACACCCCCGTAAGCCCAGGCTCTCTCAATGCACCCGAACTTTTCCTAATCCCAGTTTAATCTGTTCTCTTTAGATGTTAACCAAGCCGCGTCTCACGGAACTTGTGCGAGAGGTGGACACCACCACGCAACTAGACGAGGATGTTGAGGAGCTCCTCCTCCAAATCATCGATGACTTTGTCGAGGACACCGTAAAGTCAACGAGTGCCTTTGCCAAGCACCGGAAGTCCAACAAGATCGAGGTTCGCGACGTGCAGTTGCATTTTGAGCGGAAGTACAACATGTGGATACCCGGCTTCGGAACGGACGAACTTCGTCCTTATAAGCGGGCAGCAGTCACGGAGGCGCACAAACAGCGTCTGGCTCTCATCCGGAAGACGATCAAAAAGTACTAGAAAATCGGCGAAGGAAAGATCGGATCGAGGCTTGGTGACGGTTGGACGGATTTCGTGCATGCCACCCGCTCATGCCACAAACTATTTTAAGCTCCAATGTAGACTAAAGAACAAATTTACCCCGTTCTATATAGAAGTAAACGAATAAAGTACACATTTGATTTTACATTCAACAATTGGGCATTGTCAGCAGAAACTATGAAGCCGTGATCTCCACGAAATTACTAGTACAATGGGTTAATAATATTTTTAAATGCTAATTTTAAATAAATAATAATTTACTATAAGTCCGAAATTGCTTCTGAACGCACCCTCAATGTGGCAGTATTTTTTTCATCTCAGTATTTTCTGAGATCAGTCTGTGTTTTTCATCTGGCGACTCAAGGTCATACCACCAATAATGTTGATTTTCTGATTGTTGATTTGGAGTACACCTAAAAAGGAACTTCGACAAGCCAATTAACGGCCCTCGCCATGAAGCTGCCGGTGATTTGTCGCACTTGCGACTCCACGGACACCGACAACCTTCTAAAGCTGGCCACGCCCTCGAAAAAGTATCCGGACAAGCTGCTCTCGGAGATTCTGTGCGAGCTGACCGAAATCAATGTAAACAAAGCTCGCCAATTTGTTTAAACCAATGAAAAATGGCTTTTATAATGTTCTATTACTTTCAGCTGGATGCTACCGGAAGCCAAGAACTGCCCCAGTGCTTGTGCAGCGGCTGCACCAAGAAACTTCTGGGTGCCTACTGCTATGTGAAGCAGGCGCTGGCCGCCAACGAATTGCTGATGAAGCACCTGAAAAACGGAGCTGCCGCACCTACTACCGACTGCCTGCAAGAGGCGCCAATGGAAATGTGTGCCGAGCAGCATGTGGAAGTTAAAATGGAGACAGAAGACGAGGACGGTGGCGACAACGATGTTAGCATTACTTGCTGTGAAGTCCCAGAACCGGATGAAATGGATGAAACGCAGAGCAAGAAGGATATCGATCCTCTGACTATGATCGAAACCGTCAAGTTAGAAATAGGACATCCAGTCACTGAAAAGCCAACGGAAGAAGAATTTGATTCGGACTTTGATGATGAGGAGTAGGTGAAAAAACCATTACTTTCGATTGCATTTACTTATCAGTCAATCCTTGCAGCTCCTTGGATAATCTGACTCTAGATAAGCGCATTCAAAGATGGAAAACGGGAAGGAAGCCTATATTTAAATGCCTAGACTGCCCGAGGAGTTTTAAGCGTGTAGAGTTTCTCAGGCGTCATGAAAACCGCGTCCACAAAAAGGAATCCCGTTCTTTTGCATGCTCTCTGTGCGTTCGTAAATTCAGCCACAGCGAAGCCCTCGAAGCGCACTTGAAAGTACACCGGAACTCAAAGCGATCGGCAAACATAAGCGAGCACAAGAAGGCCAAGGCCGTAGACGTGAATCTCTGCAAGCCACATGGTTACAAGCTAATTGAGTGCATGATCTGTCAAAGCCAATACAACAAGATTGCCGATCTAAGACGGCACTTGGAGGAGCATCCCGAAATAGTCAGCCTGTGTGATCGGAGAAATGTGGAGCCACACGAGATGGCGGAACTGTTTTATCCGGATTCAAAGGACCTTGGCAAGGAGCAGTTAATTAGCTTGATACGTAGAGATCTGGCAGCCGGTATTTATCATCGTTTTTATTCGATAACCAATCAGAGTGGCTATGAAATGGATCTAGACAGCTCGGAAACGGACAGTGAACTGGATGGAGATCCCGAGGATCAGCAAAGAAGGCGAAATAAAAAGACCCGCAAGGCCGGCTACAGCTGCGAACTTTGTCATCAGAAATTTCCTCGAAAATATCTGCTGTATGACCACCAGCGCCAGAGCCACAGTTGGTCAGAGGCACCTCATGTCTGTGGGCGGTGTGATGGCCGCTTCGTTAGTCTGCAGCTGCTACGGCATCACAACGAGTCACAGTGTCGGAATGGGCACAAGCGATTCCTTTGCCACAAATGCCCGCTTCGCTTCCGATGGAAACATAATCTGAAAGCACATTTCCGTGAGCACAGGATTACAGTAAGTTGAAGTGTGATACTTTGCAGAGAGCTATCAAAATATATACATTTTCCAGAATCAGACCTTTGAGTGTCCCGAGTGCAAGAGAGTGTTTGACAAAAAGAAATCCCTTACCGTTCACCTGCTCAGCGTCCATGCAGAGGAATCGAAACTGATTCCTTGTCAATGGTGTAGTCGTAAGTTCTACCGCCACGACTATTTGGTGAAGCACTTGAAACGCCATGGGCTCAAGGAGCAGGACATTCCACTGGCCGAGACCTTGATTGCGGCCACATCACGGCCGAATGGAGCGAAACGCATCACCTGCCGGATGTGCAATCTGCATTTCGACCGTATTTGCGATCTGCGGGCCCATATCCAGCTAGAGCTAAAGTTGTCCCTTTCGCTGCACCAGAGCTACGATTCCCTTCAAAATTACTCGATAACAAACGAGTCCGGGTTTGAGTTGCAGCTGGAGGATTCGGAGACGGAAGACGAAATGCAAACGCCTGGTGGCAATCGTCCCGTTTATATCTGCGAGATTTGCAGCGTGCAGTGCAAGCGGAAATTTGAAATGATCCAGCACCAAAGGACTATGCACCGCTTTGACAAAATGCCACATGAGTGCGATGACTGCGTCTTTAAATGTGTGTCCAAGGTGGGCTTTTGGCTTAGCATATTTTTCTTTAATGTATATATATGTACTTATTTTTTTTAGAGTATAATGGACTACCACCGTCAGGGCCAGTGCAACAGCACAGAAAAGAAGCATTCTTGCGGCAAGTGCTCTTACAAATTCATGTGGCCCGAGAATCTGGAACAGCACGTTCTTCTGCAGCACAACGTATCCTCATCCAGTAACACGTCAGCCGTCGGACGAACGATTGGAGACAACGATGTGGACAAGGATAATGCAGAAGAGGGGGTACCGTTGTTGCAGTGTCCACATTGCGATCGCACCTACCAAATGAAATCGCGCCTTAATAACCACATCCGCGATGTACATGTTAACGGTGATCGCAAGCGCAAAGAGGCGATTAAACGCTTCCTTTGTTCCCTGTGCGGCATGGAGACCCGATCTGCCGCTGCCTTGGTGACCCATATGCGTCGCCACACCGGCGAGAAACCTTTCAAATGCGATCTGTGCGAGATGGCCTTTCCCCGGCATTCGGAGCTTACCTCACACCGTCGCATGCACACCGGCGAGAAGCCATACCATTGCACCGTCTGCGGCAAGGACTTTGCCCGCTCCGACAAGCTCAAGCGCCACATGCTCACCCACAGCGGGCTCAAGCCGCATAAGTGCACCTATTGCGACAAGAGCTACCGCCAGGCCAAGGACCTGAAGCTTCACCTGCAGCAGCACACCGGAGAATGTCCCTTCGTATGTGGCACCTGCGGTGAACGCTTCATCCAGAGCAGCACACTGGAGAAGCACAGGCTAATGCGCCGCCACTTCGACGAGGTAGAGGCTTGGTTAAGGCGGCAAAAATAGGGGACTCTTGCAATAATTAAAGTTTGGTCTAGTAAAAAAATGGCATTGTGTTTTATTGAGGTCATTAATTGGCTCTTTGGGATGTTTGAGACGAAGTTGCAAAAAGTGGAAAAACTGGGAAGTAAACATGACTTTTAAAGTTCTTCAGATAAGTATTAGATTTCTTTGCTGAAAAGCAAACAAATTTAGAGGCTATCAACATAATTTCTAAGTAAGCTTTGGGCTTTGTTAATGGAATGTCGACGGGTTCTGGCTTCTTCTACAGTTCTTCAGATCCAGCACGTGGGTCGATCTTCATCAACTCAACGTCGAAGACAAGCACCGCGTTGGGTGGAATCTTTCCGCCACCCGCACCACTTGCTCCATATCCCAGTTCCGGGGGAATGGTTAACTTCCGCTGCTCGCCCTCACACATTCCAAGGATTCCCTGGTCCCAGCCTTTGATCACCTGGCGGGCGCCGAGGGTGAAGGAGAAAGGAGAGCCGCGGGAGTAGCTGCTGTCGAACTCGGAGCCATCCTGCAGTGTGCCCTAAAAAAATTTCCAATTAGGGGTTAGGTTGGCCGGCCGGCAAGAAGTCCTTTTTGGTATTCCCTCACCTTGTAGTGCACATGAACTAGGTCGCCGCTTTTTGCCTTCCGTGTGCAGCTTTCCACGCGCTTCTTAATGCCGATCTTCACCTTTGGGTCGCTGGCCACAGAGGCAGCCACAAAAGCGCAGATTAGGAAAAAGTAAGTCAATTTCATCTTATCGCAAGCTAACACCAAACGAATATAAAAAAAACGCTTTGGCAGTGTGACCGTATGAATAATTTTAAAATGTTTTCACTGTGTCCATTTCGCATTTGTTGTTAAACCATTAATAGTGTAAACATCTAAATAAGGCCACACCCAAAAGCCCGCGAAATTTTAAACTCCAAATATTGCTGGACATGATTTTTCTTGTAATTCACAATAATATGAGTACAGTACAGCTTGGTGTATACTTACAAATATCTTACGTACATTAAAGCTCGTTTAAAATTGATACATACATAGCTTGATTACATTTTTGACTTTCTTAAAATACGGAGAGCTCCAAAAATAACTCATTCGTTACGAAACTCAAACGCGACAGTGCAAAAACAAAAATTGACTTTATAAATATGCAACAGATTATCAGGAGATATATGAATGTACGATAATATCACAATAATAAAGGAATACATACATTTTAAATGATATTAAAGCCCGATAAATAACGACGTTCAATCAGGTGCCAACATTTAAGCATAATACTAAGCTACACTAATATTTATATCGTATAAAACATAGCTATTATTGTTACTGAGGGTCCCACGGATCAGTGCTGGAAAGGTGAACCTCAATCGGAAATTCGGTTTCCACTCGATGGGCGCCATCCGGAAAGGATAGGCTTTCAGTTGTCGTTGGACAGATTTGTGATCTTGGCCGCGTACATACTGGCCACCTTGTAGATAAATTCATACTGCTCCTTGGTCTGAACGGCACTGGCTCGTCCCCGCCGCACATAGTAGACCAGCTGTGGGATGTCTAAGGACCGCTTCGGGGTCTCCAAGCTCCGGATGGCCATGTCCGAGGCGATAATGGTGCCTGTGCGTCCCGTGCCTGGAGAACAGTGAACGGTTAGCGGTCTAAGGGGAGAAACAGAGAAGGGAAGACACAAAACATTAAAAAGCCATGCAAGACACAACTGCTGTGGTGTACAATAAGTTATATAAAAATACAATATTGGTACCTAAATACCAATATATAAATTTATTACATTCTTTATATTTTTAAACACAGAGGTGTGTAGGTTAACTTACCCCTGCTGGTTTCGAGTGCCGCTCCGACTGGAAATGTTTCCATTGATCTCGTTGCTGGACGTGCTGCCCGCCTCGCCCTTGGTGCCATCCGCATCCATCGATGTCTCCAGCGTCGCGGATTTCTCGCGCAGCTCGTTGGCCTGTTCCAGGCAGTAGGACTTAAGGGAGGAGCGCGCCTCCAGCAGCATGGCAATGATGGGTGCCTCCTCGGCCGGAACTCCGGCCTCTGGCCACTTGTACCAGTAGTGGGTGAGCTCGCGGCTCTCCTCGCCATCCACTCGCTTCAGGACCAGCGTGGAAATAGCGTACTTGTCCTTCACCTCCCGGTGCTTCAGGGTCACCTGGTAGTCGCCATAGCTGCTGTGGTTGTCCAGCGTCGCCGAGGGCGGCAAGTACTCGGCGCACCGCTCGATCCCGTTCTCGCTGAGATCCGTCGCCTGGATGATCACCCGCGACTGCTGCTCCCAGATCATCCTCCAGAAATCTGCGGTCGTGCTCTCCAGCGGCGCCTGGCAGGCTATATAGTAATTGGGAGCATCTCGGGGGCCCTGCATAAAGTAGAAAATATGTGGGTATGAGAATATATTACAATTTTAAGACTACCCACAACTATGCCTTGCATTTTTATAGTCTTTTGTTCTCTCTTTAAATATATACTCGTATGTTCATACTTTATTCTTTAAACTTGACATAATCTTATGCCGTTTTCCTTTTTCTTTACACATAAGCTGGCGTGAGTAATGACATAACCATTAATTAAAACTTATTGTGGCTCAACTCTCGCTCTGCCCACACAATAACTGGCTGTGAGCTGTGAGCTGTGCGCGCCTCCCAGATAAACGACCATAAAAATCGCACAACAGACCTCTGCTGCTCAAATCTCGACATGCTCAGGTTATCGCCAGGTGCAATTGCGATGAACGATGGAAGTGTTTCGCTTCAATGCACCGCAATGCATCGTCCACGTCACGCTTCAATGCAGTTCTTAAAGTGAGTTTTAGTAAACAACTAAAAACATTAGGCTTGATGGACACACACGTCCTGCACACAGAAAACCAACAGTCGAATGAAGTATTTCTCTTTCACATATCAAATTTGGGTAGCTAACGCTTTACCTAAAACGTTAAGCCAGCAGAAATTTAAACGAACACAAAAGGTTCTTTAATTGAGGGCTAAGAACCCGAAATTATACAATTATCTTAAATAAGATTCGTCATCTTTATAACAAAGATTCTGTTTATACACAATGAAGTTGTTTCACATGTGCAGGTAACTAAGATTGTGCTTAACTGTTATTTAATCTCAGACGATAAAAGTATAAGATAAATGCAAGTGTTTACATTCCGATTGCTTCAACAAAGAAGTTAAGATTTTCATTGACAGCTAATTGTTTGTTTTTAAATAAAACGGGAAAGGGAAGTTGCCGTTATAATAGATAAATTAACAAATTTTAATATCGCATGTTGTAAATTCAGAAATACTGGATTGTTTTCTGAGTGATTTCGGGTGGTTTGGAGCGTGGCGTTGGGTCGTGATGTAAGGGCATTCACACTTCGATGATCTCGGCAGACACTTTCCCCTGGCGCAATTACAACTTGCTGCTTTTCGCTGAAAACCCCCTTTTGCTGGTGGGGATCTGGGCAACAAAGCCGTAGAGCCTACCACTATTTCACAGTCATGGCCAACAGAGGAGCAGGTGAGTCTCATCGGGCGTGTAATTATTCGGGCGCCATGTTTAATGGCCATCGAGGGGCACGAAGACTCCAGATGGGGCATGGCGTCATGCAAGGCTCGCCACGTATGCTAACCACTTGAAGATGCCGCGGCCCAGCGATATCACCTATCCACCTATCCATCCATCCAACCACCCACTACATTTGCTACATGGGAAACCAGCTCGATTGTTTGCTGTCTAGCTTTCGGATGAGCCGATCCGCCGCCCACTTGGAAGACACCGAACGCCTCGGTTACTTACCCGCACATAATTGGCATTAATGTATTCCGTTTTGTCATCGTCGCCTTGCCGCTGGAGCACCACCCGCGTCTCAGGAAGCGGAATCACGTTGGCGTAGCTGCGGTTCGGTTCGTGCGATTCGGTTCCCAGTTCCCAGTTCGCAATTCCAGTTGGAGGTCGAGACGTTGAGTCACCATCGTCGGCGGTGTTGTTATTGGTTCGGGACAAAAAAAAGCAGGAAGAGATGTGCCAGAGATCAGTATTGTAATTGATTCGACAATTCGATGTGAACTCGTGCCGCGAAAGTGAACCCTTAATTGCAGTAGATACGGGTTGGGCAACCAAGCGACAATCCCAGTTATCTTATCTGCACTATACCTAAGTTTACCTGAATGATTTCACTTTTTCCTATGGCCTTCACGTTATTATAATAAATTATTTTCCAAACAAGATTATTTGAAGTTTAATGGTAATAAAATTCTTTTTAAATGTGTGAATAAACCAAAAACTTACTACATAAGGAATTAATACAAATATAATAATAATTTTCTGAGCTAACAATTTATTGTGTGCTTTCTTAAACTGTTATTAACTTTTTAAAAATGAAACTGTTGAAGTATAAAGCAAAAGCGTTTGAAAGAAAACATTAAAAATGTTGCATTGAAACAGAAATAATCTAATCAAACCACAATTACGTTATCAAATCATTGAGATTACACAACTTTGACCCAGCCCTTTAATGATCCCGGCACACCTGAATGAAATCTGATAGGCGTTTCTGATAAGCATATTTCACTTTTCGAGAAGGAATTCATTCGCTTTGTTTTGGAAAATTAAAGTATTAAATATTTTATTTTGCTATTTTATTTAAATGCACTGGGGGATTCACTTTCACGAGATATATCTTCAGCTTGTACTCACCGATTCTTGTCCTCGCATCCTGGCGGCACCTCGTCCGCTCTGGCGATGATTTGCGGTACGTCCCGGAACTCCTCGAAGACGTCGGAACGCCGCTCCACGAAGCGGGCTAACTCACTGGCGGTCAAGAGGTTATGCCGCAGCGAGGGATCATCGAAGGCGGCGTTGCCGTAGGTCCGCTTGGATGCCCTCACATCGCGACCCTTCCTCCGCACACTTCCGAGCACCGAAACATTGTCCAGGGAGTAGGCATCCAGGCTCACCGGGCGACACCTTTGGCCGTAGGACATCTGCTTCTGGCGCTTGCGCATCAGATAGAGGAACGCCACCAGGAGGATGAGGGCCACCACTCCGATCACACTGACCGTGATGGCGATGATCACATTCACATCCGTGCCGTTTCCCTGGGCATTGGCCTGCATGTGATCCAGTTCGTTGGGATAGGGAGCCATGAAGGTGGGTGGCATTTCGGGGGATTGGGTGGTGCTGCTACCAAGAGTGGTTGTGCTCTCCGGCAGCATGATGTTGTTGTTGCTGATGGTGGTGCTGCTGCTGGCCACCGTTGAGGATTCAATGTACTCCTCCGTGGGTGGCGGTGCAACTGTTGTGGTTCTCGTGGTGCTCGATGTGGTGCTGTCGTCCAACAGACTGATATCCACCGGCTGCATTGTTGTTGTGGTCGAGGGTGGTGCCTCTGTTGTTGTGGTTGTTGTGGTACTGGTTGTTGTTGTAGTACTGGCTGTTGTTGTTGTTGTTGTACTGGTTGTTGTTGTTGTTACCGCCATCGTTGTCTTGGCTAACTGCTGCTCTGTGTCCTGCTCATCGACCACCTGTTGCCCCTCATGGTGGTGCGACGACTCCTTCTCAAAATCCTGGCCACCTGTTGCCGCTGTGCTCTCATCCGTTGCAACAGCAACAGCAGATGTTGTTGTTTCGGGAGGGGCTTCGCCAATGTTGTTCGTCTCCAGTGAGGATTCGTGTTCTTTGCTCAGTTTACTTAGGTCACTCAGCAGACTGGTGGTGGTGCTGGTGGTTGTCGTCGGGGTGGTTTCCCCCGCCGCCTCTATTGCTGTTGTTGTTGTTGTTGTCGTTGGCAATGCCTGCTCTGTTATGGCCACACTGTTATTGACCGCGTTATCGGTTTTCTCAGCTGTTCTTAGCTCGTTTCTATTGCTTAAACTGTCGCCGTCGCGTGTCTTCACTGTCACTGTCTCCAAATTCACTTCATTGCTAATTTGCGCAATTTCCGTTTGCGTGGGTGTTGCCGCACTCAATGTACTCGTACTCGCGATTGTACTACTCTGAGTACTTGTTACGATGATTTCGGGTTGGATTTCTGGCCGAATCGAAGTGCTCACCTCGCCAGCCACTCGCACACTGAACGATGTTGCTGTTGGCTCCTCGGTTGCTGTTGCTGTTGCCGTTGCTGCTGCTGCTGGCGGGTCGCTCTCCGGACTTTTGGTTGTGGCAACGATGACGTCGTTACTGTTATTATCGTCGTCGCCGACGCCGTCGCTGATGTTGCTGATTTCAGCCGCTTTCATTGCCATTTCAGTTGTGTTGGGGGTGATTGCCACATGCGTTACTCGTTCGGTTGATGTTGCTGGTGGTGCTGCAGCTGATGTTGCTGTTGTACCTGCAGATGTTGCTGAAGCCTCTGCATTTGGGGTTGCTGCTGTTGTCTCCTCTGGAACGGTGAGTGTTGCTAATGTTGTTGTAGATGTTGCTGCTGTTGAAGTGGTTGCTGCTTTTGTGGCTTCTGATGTTGCTGCTTCGAAGATTTGTTTATTGGACCCAGGTACAACCGATAAGGGTTCTTCTGTGGTTGTTGTGGTGCTTGTGGTTGTTGAAGGTTTTTCAGATGCAGCTAGAATTTCTGTTACATTCAACAGATCGGTTTTTATTAAACCCACCCTCGCTGTTACGGGCAATGTTGCAAATTGCTCTAGCAATTTGGTTGGTGTTGCAGCCTCGGTTGCTGTCTCTTTTTCTTCCGTTTGAGCCTCTGTTATCGCTTCTGTTAGTTTGGCATTAGCTGCATCGGCCATCTTTTTGACCAAGGGAACATCTAATAGTTCTGTTCGAGCAGTTGTTGTGCTTACTTCCCATTCCATAAAACTTTCATCAGACTTTATAGGTGTTGTAATTGCAACATCCTCTTTCTGCAATCCTGTTGGAATCATACTTTTATGATGACTTTCCTCTGCTAAAGCTTCGGTGGTGGCCTGTGTTGCACTCTCGGTGGCATCCAAAGTGGTTCTCACCACAAATTCGGTTCGGTTCTCCGGCACGGATTGCATCATGGCAATTTGTTGCCAATCCAGGAGATTCTTCTCCTTGTGCTGCTCCGTTTTGTTGTGAGGTAAATCTATATCGTTTGCCAGGTCAGTTTGGTTAATAAGGGGAAGGACAGTTGTGGTGGTAAGAGGAGCCTTTGGTACTGCCTTCATCCCCGCCAGACTCCAAACTTCAGCGGTATTTGGCAACGTAAGTTGTTGAGCATTGGTGGAATTTTCGCTAATAAATTTGGCTCGCTTTTCGGGCAATTGACGAACCTCCGACTTGGAAGTGGACTCATCAATGGTGTTCTCATTTGAGGCATAAAAAGTAGTCATCGAGGGAGTAGTGGATGAAGTGGTTGTCGAGGGAGTAGTGGATGATGTAGTGCTGACAGGAGTAGAGGTCATAGGCAGAGGTCGCAGTTTCATGGGCGTGACAACTGGGAGGGATTGCAACAAACCTTCAGTTGTGGTTAAATATTGCATGGATCGACCATGTTCGGAAGAACGGGTGGTGGTGGTATTAACCACTCTCTCGGTGGTGCTTGGAACTTCAAGGGTGGTGTTGGATTCTTTTGGTGTCATAGCTTCTGTTGTTAACTCCTTAATCTCAGATTGATAGTGTGATTCAACTTTTGGAAGAGAATCCTCTGCTTTCTCATCTTTCTGTTCACTAGGGAAAACATGTTCGGTGGTTGTACTCGAGATCGTTTTCAAGGAAGCTAATTCTTTTACAGGATCTGAAGGAACTCCCTTTTTTTCCAGATTTTCTGAGATTCTATCTGACTGACTTGCATTTGAAATTGTAGAATCCTCTTTAGCAGCAACTGGAGGAGTTACATTTTGAGATTCCTCTTTTATTGGAGATTCTGTGACTGACCCTTCTTCTCCCAGATCTTTTACGGTGGTGCTGCTGGATTCACTTTGAACGAAGGCCGCAGTGGTTGCCTCAACTTTTGGTTTGTCTTTTGTATTTAGGGACTCAGATTGCGCTTCAGCCTTTACTTCTCCATCCTTAACTTCCAGTGAGATTTTTTGAGCAACCACTTCCGGATCTCCCTTCGTTTCAAGCGATGCCATGTCGCCCACACTTTCCCCGAGCGTTGCAACAATGTCAGGGTCACTAGAATTCAAATTGGAAGCCACCGGCTGCTCCAAGCCGGAGGTTTCTCTTTTCGCAATGAAACGTGCCTGCGTTAACATTACGGCCAGGGCGAGCATTAAGCCACCACCAAGCCATCCAACCACACGCATTGTGGATCGCTCCCTCTCCTTCTACCGCCGTATATCTCTCTCTCTTTCTTTCCTTTGGTGCTTTTCTGTGGGTCAAGTCAATTCCACGTTCGACTGGGCCTCAAAATCGCTATGTTTTTGTTTCCACCTTTTGAGCTTAAGTTATTGTTGTTCTTTTTTCGCCTGTTTTCTCATTTTTATTTTCAGCAATTCGCAACGATTTATTCCTTTTCATATATTTTTCTCAGATTTTTGCCTTCATTTTTACTAGGGAAAACACCTGCAATAAAAAAGGGGAACATAAATTAGTTAACCAGTTTTTTTCTTGTTAAATGCATTTCATTTTCTTTATGTTTTGGGTTCCTCTTAAATGGCCTGAAATTATTTGGACGGTAGTACGTTTAAATATTCCGTGGAAAGTGACTAGCAATTTCCCTTTCTATAAGCGGAGCTCTCCATAAATGCAATTAATGTCATTAAGACACGTTCAGCATTCCCCCAAACAAAATGAGTTGGAGCCTCAAGTTCAAGGCCAAGTGAGTAGGGAATTAAATATAGCTCTCTTATAACAATTATAAAATGAAGTAATTTAAAAATAATTACTCAAAATATAATAATATACAATAGAATACAACAACTAAATTAAAAGCAAAGTCCAATTTTACTGTTTGTAATTAATTAGTATTTAATTATACATATTTCTTTAAATAGATATTATAATTTATAAATACACGCTACTGAACTTTGACTTTGTTTCTCAAGTTCAGTTTGGCTTTTTCCCCGTAATAAATAATGTCAAGGAAGCCTGATGGGTTCATTGTACCGAGTGGCCAAAAATAGTTCACATCGAGGTGTTTACCATCTCGATCTCCACCCACAGCTGTATGGCTTCACCTTTGAGTTGCGAACCATTCATATAAAAGCCCAATCGATGTCATGGAACGAAGTGCATAGGGTTCATTCAACCACGGCCTCCACCGGCGAACCCATCAAAAGTTGCTCTGGGAGTTGAAGTATTCCAGCCGAACTGCAAACAAAGCCACCCAATAATAACCATGGAGCGGATATACAAAAATATCCGGAGAGGGCGCGAGTTTACCGACTTCATTCACCATGGTTATCGCTGGGTTGTTATCTGCCGATCCGGGCGATGTCATGTCAATAGTGCATGCAACCCCAGCTCAAGGTGGAGAACACCCCTCCCTCCCCCTCTTGTTCCCCTTCAATATTTGGCCACGTGGGAGAAAAGCCTACCCCCATGTCAGCAATTAGTACTAAAAGGCCCAGTTCGGTGGTTGCTCGTCATTAATGACGTTACCCTTATGGTGGTGCGATATTCAGGTGTGGCGCCACCCACTTGTTCCCCCTTAAATGGAATCTTTTACCCAGAGGGCTGCCCCCTTCGAATATTGCTACTTTCTCGTTGAAATACTTGAAATTCCCCACTTTATTATGGAACCAGAGATTCGCACTTCCATTCAGCTGCCCATTTTGCCATGCGCCCGCTGACTAATACCTCTAGAAATATATATATATTTATGCACATGTGTGCTTTTAGATAAGATTTGCTTGAGCCAGACAGGGACAAAATCACAGCGAGGTATTTTGTAATTTTTTTTATATTTTTGAATGTCAACGCTGCTGCTGATAAAAAGGCAGCGGAAAAGGTAAACAGTAATCGCTGGTGTTGTTGTCACCGGAGGCCGGCGGTGGGTTGTAAAAGGGCATAACGATAGCCACTGGCTTTATTGACTTTAAAAAACAAAGAAAGATTATATGCATGGGTATTTACAATTTATATGGTTTCATGTGAAAAGCTCTACTTACTAAAAACTAAAACAGAACATTTATTTTTAGAGTGATAACTACTTTTTTTTACACAATAAAGAAATATTATAAAAATGAGTTTTCAATAAAAAACATTATTTTAAATTTAGAATTAAATAGGTTTCTCTTATTATTGTTTTAAGATTAAATTAAATATTTTTACATTAAACAAATATCTACACGGAATCTCCAGTTAACAAAAGCCTAAAAGTATGCTTTATTCTATTACTAAAATGTAGTCCCAAAATCAGACTTGCTTTGCAAATAAGCGCTAGTGCTTGTGATTAAGCCTAGAAAACAAAATAATACTTTGTAGGCTTTGGTTCCTCGGCTGCGTTAATCGACGGGAACCGACCGAAGGTAGAACCACCCATTGATACAGTGAACCACAGCCGGAGGCAAGGGAGTTTCAGGAAGACAGAGCCGCAATTTGAACCCTCCACTTAACCCAGCTGAAACCCAAATCGGTTTGCCCACGAGCTCTGGGGTCGGGTGACCAGTGGAAACGTGACTCGATCGGGGAATCAAGTGCATCACGGCATTGGCAGTAAAAAAAGGGGAATCAGGGAACTGGAGGGAGCGGCGCATGCTCGAGATGTAAACAGAAATCAGCATTAGAGAAACGAGCCCGGGGAGTCGACTCATTTCCGCTTCAGCAGCACGCACTCAGGATGAACGAATGGCTCAGAATTCCCCGACTTGGGATCACTATCCACAGCCCCAACTCCAACTCCAAGCTGAAACTGCAGCGATGATGATGATCGGATTGAGGATGATCGCGAGATCGCGAGAGAATGCTAAACCAGTTTTTGCGGCCCAATAAAGCTGCTTCGATTTCGATTTGCAATTATGATTTCACTTGCATTGCGATCACGCTGGATGTGGAGAATGGCCGGCGATCGGTTGGTATCTTAATGATCTCGGGATCGGTAGTTGTAGTCGTAGTCGCAGTCGAAGTTATTGTGGCCAGTGATAATGACAGCCATCTGGGTAGTCATGACTCGATCTGCGCCGCTGATTGATGGGAAGAAGCTTTGAGCGATTAAACTTCTGGGGGTTAGAATCGTTAGCTTTGAGATGAGAGATTGCTTTGGATTTTCCCAAGTTAGTTTCGGTTCCTAATCCTAATCACCAGACAAAATTCGTTCGATCTAAATGATGTTGGAAATGACTAACTAACCGGAAGGGGATCATTAAATTCTGTGAAAGCGATTAAATGGGTATTTTCGAAGCTGATAAGAAAGTCCAAAAGGTTTTGGATTAGAACTTGTTTTACAATATAAGTAATTAGTGAAACTAATTAGCTTTCCAAAGTGTTCATTAAAAACTTTGCTACTTTAAAGCAGAATATCAGCAACTTGAAAGTGAGTCACATTAAGTTTGTATACTTTGTGGAAGTATCCAAAGCCATCTTCAGTTACTATCCCACATCTAACTTAACCCAAATGACGCACTACATACGCAGACTCCCGACTCGAAAAAGAATTCCAAGAATGCCAACAGTTAGCTGGGATTATTACAGACGCAGATGGATGATGGTATAAGCTGCGTTCTTTGCCATTTCTGCGAAACTCACTGGGTTGCTATAAAGATGGAGATGGAGATGTTATCAATAATGAATTGCGAGTGGAGCCGTTCTAAAATCAGCCGAGTGTGATGGAGAATTAGAGGCGTCGCACGCTCAAACGATAACTGTGGCATTAGTCCACATTTCTATATATATATATGTACTATAGTTTTGTATTTGGGGCTTCTTTTGTTTTGGGTTACGGCTATACCGCTATTTCATATCTCGTAACTGTGGAGCAAAGCATCCGCGGAAGTATCTCATTCGAACGAGTCAATCTTCATTATTCTCTATTAACGAACTTCCCAGGCGTATCATAGCTTCATTATGGGAGGCAAATCTCATTCCGCTCTCCAATACGACGAGCTCCCAAAATTTGTGGCCATTGATGCGATTTGACGATGACTCATTTGCATGACATTTGCTTATATCATGCTCATTCGCATACGCGCTTGAAGCCAAATTTCTTTCTTTTTTTTCTCTGCGGAAATCCAGAGCCAAAATAAACGATACTCTGCCACGAGCTGAACTTTCAACGCAATTAAGTTTGTGAAAGAAATCGAAACCCGCAATGAAATCGAACTCAATTTTGAGGATTCAAAGCGGTCAACTGCTTTATTTGCTACCACGGCACACAGAAAGATAATTTATGTGTCTATTGTAGTTTATCTCAAGGAAAATGTATGTTTATGTTCACTTTAATACACAACACATTGAAATTATTCCAAAATAAACCTCTAAATCTATTAATACCATAAAACAGTGAATGTAATAAAACTGTTCTTTTTTTTCGTCAGATATTAATGTTTTTACTTCATAAAATAAAAGATACATGTCTTTTTCTTATGTGACTTTTTATCAGTAGAGCAACTTGAATTATAATTATTATCAGTAAATTATCAGAAAAGAAACTTGCGTTAAGCACTATTATTGATGTTAAATATTATCATTAAGGTTATCGACTCCAATTTTTACTTGTATACCCTTGCAAAAGGTAATAAAATTAGATTTTAAATTTTCCAAATTTTTTTCTGTGTTCAATAAACGATCGCATTCATCAATTTTGACCTTGCTGGCCCTGCCATTCGCGTTTATTGAACCAGGCAGCTGCGGCAACAACAACATAGCCCGTCCAAATTGCAAATGAGTTTAAACATTTATGCTGTGTGTCTGTGTTTAGACAAAATTGAGATCACTGGATACTTGAACATGTATTAATTCCATTTTCATAAGACTTTTAAACAAAACACGCCTTCCATTGTCCAATTTTTAGATTGCCAAAAGTTGCTCAAATCTGAACACATGTATATTATTAGTATAGATAAAATCCTTGACATTATAAAAGAACGAAAGCTTATGGAGATTATTACCTATAGGTATTACCTATCAATCAGAGGCAACCCCTGAATTCTGGAGAAATGGTTGGAGCTCTTTTGATGGGTTCGATAAGGGTTTTGGCCACGCAATACACAAGTTAAGCCACCGTCAAAATGGACAAGCAATTGTCCAGTTGGCCGCTGTTGTCTTTGCTTATCTGTATCTGTATCTGTGCAATTACTCTAATGACAGGCGCATGTGTACGTAGTACGTAGTTGGGCTCAGATACACACATGTATGTCAGCCGCATAATTGCCCCTAATGCAATTGAACAATTAGGCAAGCGCTGCAGCTCAAGCGCAGGCCACACAACAAATGCAAAATAGACAAACAAATGTATGCACTAAGAAAAATAAATCATTTATTGATTAATTTAATACCATATGTATATATCACTCCTCTTTCTATACTTCTGTTTTCGCTAGATATATACCCACTTCCACTTCTGTATTTTACGGCTTCCCTTTATTTTTAATAACTTTATGTCAGGTACAAAAAATTCTTTCAAT